GCAGACCTCAGATTCACACAATATATGTAGAAATGTGGATCCAGGGACAGCTTACATGTTGAGCAAGATATTTTGTGTGAATCAGGCCTAAGAACACCCTATTCCAAATACTGAAGTCAGCTTGCTGCCTGGGTCACACTGTACTAAGGCATGGTACAACGCAGGACCCCAAGGACTTGCAAATGCCAAGAAATCTGGGTGTATGTCCCACATCACAGGGCAAAAAGCCCATAACTGTTGCCTCAATTACTGATTTATATGCATGCTGATTTTCCAGCAGGGAGTCAGTTAACAGAATTCAGGAATAGTTCATTACATACATTAACCCTTACCTTTTCTCTTTTTTTGGCCATATTATGTTAACAGTAGAAAGGGTAGCAGTCTTCTTCCACTCCTCATATGCCATAACATTCACACATTAATAGATCACAACGTCAAAGAAACCAAAGGCTATAGTTTTCAGCTCCCCAGGATACATGCTGTTTCAGGGCCTTATTTACTTTTTAATTTCATAACACTTTTTCCTTTAGGCCAAACTCATATTTCCATACAACTTTGCCCTTTCTTCCCTTGCATCAATTAATAGACAGACTATATATTAGTATGAAATAATTAACTGCACTGCTTATTTCTTCCCTGCAGGCAATGGCACGAACCAATTAGATCATGGAACAAAATACAAAACAAAATCCTTTCAGTGTTTTACTTGGCTCTGAAAAATGGAAGAACCCTCCCATTTCATTGCATAATGAACCTCCTAAATCCCCAAAGAGCCTCGAGTGCAGCAGAAGAGCAGCTCCACAGAAGGTTCTTGGATTACTCTGAGCTCTCTTAAATGTACAAGAATGCAGGCATTCACCCAATCTTCATTTATACAAGTTCAATAGCCTTTAAAGAAGTCATGTTAGCACAGCCAGTTCTGAGACGGACTAGAGCCCACACTAGTATAACAAATAAGGATGTTGGGTTAAACAGTTTGTCCACACAGCCAACAGTTGAACACTGGTTATGAAAAAAAACTGTTTGAAAAGTTTCTCACTGTGTGTGCACTCGTGAACTAAATCAAGGCAGTTGCATACACCCATCACCACACATTCAGCTTGTGTCTGGGACGCAACAGAAATCAGTGTTTTTCAAAACATGCTGAAACCAGGCCCTGCACATGGCAATGGGGGCACACAACTTGTTTGGCATAGACTGAGGTCAATATAGGCAGGCTTTTCCCTTCATGATTCCTGATGCTCATGTGAAAGCTTTCTATTTAGGTTATGTATTGGGATTTCTTCCCTATTTCTAAAGCTCCTAATGAATTAGAAGAGCTTGCATGTTTGGATATTGGGGGAAAATGTTTCCACAAGAAGAACAATTAAGAAGTATTGTCAGTGGTAAATTATATTGGTAGACAAAAAGTGTCGCGGCCCTCAGACATCCTCCAGTGACCAGAAAGCAGACTGTGGTGGACAACCCAAACTCACTGGTGAATAAATGAACATCAGCAGCCAATTTCACCTGCTCCAGACTTTGGTCTGAAATAAGCAGACAAGTGGCACGGGTTGCCTGGTACGTGCTTTCAAGGGAGAAACACTCTGCTAAAGACTCAGTAATAGGACTGTAACTGCAGGGCTATTTTTCTAGATAAAGAGGTGCCAGAACTCACCAAGAACACCTTCCTCATTCTCTTAGGAAGGCAATGGAGCCTGAACTGAGTTCATGTGAGTTCCCCCTGGAAAAAAAGCTCTGACTGTAAGTGTTTGACTTCATCAGCCCCAAACAGCATGGCTGAGTGTTGGGATGATGAGAGTTGTAGTCCAACATCTGGAAAATGTTTCGTATCCCCTGGTGCTTGTAGTCACTGCTAATCAAGGGTTCATGTCCTGCTTGTGGGCTTCTCATAGGCTTCTGGTATGGTAGACATCATACCTGGCTCACCGGTGTATTACTGCAAAATGGTATCTGTGGAAACTCACAGATAAAAATGGGGAACGTGATGCAGAAGAAGTGCATTTTCAGCTAAACTAAAGCAATGGTAGTGCTATCTAGGGACCCGCATCAATTCATAATCCTGCCTAGGAGGAAGGTGGGTTGCCAAAATAGTTCTCTACTGTTAATCGAATTCCAATTTAAGTGTTTGTTAAAATATGGGAAACTGGTATAGTACTGCCCACAGTTTGTGCTCAAAATGAAATTTAAACTGTAACAGGGTAGCAACATTTCATATATCCAAATCTAGGCCCAAGATCTTTGTCATCTAAAGCAAAAGCTTCCATGCACACCTCTGACAGACATTTTAAGAAGGGCAACATATAAATGTTGCATATTATTTATTTATTTCATAAAATTTATATACTGCTTACTTTCACAAAACAAAACCTCAAAGCAAACCTCAGAGTGGCTATATATGGCATGGCCTTTCATTTGAGCGTGTACTTTTTTCGCCACAACAGTTTGGACAAAGAAATTGGCTTTATGCTATTTATTTGGTAGGGGGCATGATGTCAACCACAGAAACGTCTCCCTGAGAGCAGTTTCCAAGCATTCCATTCACTAATGAAAGAACTGGAGCAGAATGCCTCTCTGCTAATGCTATATTTCAGTCATTAAAAATGTGCATTTACAATTTTGTTTAAAGCTGCTAGAGGCAAAACACAGAGAAATTACTCCGGCCTCCATTGCATATTTCTAGATTAGCCTCCAAGACCACACTCACTAGAAATGAGTGCTATTTGTACCTAGAAAGACGGCAAATGGCTTGCGCAGCCCAAGCTTCACAGTGTAACCAATCTGGAATTAATGCTCCATTTTCAAGAAGCTCAGCATGAAAGTCAAATTCAGGCTCATACTAGCTGGCTGTTCCACACAAGCTCAGAAAAGTGAAATTGTCTGTCAAGAAACCAAAGTTCTGTGCCTAATAATATTGTCTGAATATGTGATGCAATTTAAACATTTATTTTTGGTCCACTTTTCATCTACGTGAATTCTAGGCTGGGGTATAAAATACAGATTCCATAAAATTTCATAAAAACTTCATGACGAAAGCAACTAAAATCACAGAGCAGCCTACCTACCATAGTTATTCAACATCTATAAAACAATGAAAAAGCCAGGACAAACCAGTATGACAAAAGTGTTGGTTTGAAGCAGAACTCCAAGGGGAGAGAATTCCATAGACAGGGGCTGAATCTAGACACATCAAACTAACTTTTCAGGAAAACACGTTGTAAACCTCATAATGGGAAATCACATTGCTGAAAAACGGAACTCCACAGCACCATCTGGTGTCACAGTGTTATAACACATTTGAAATGATTATTCTTTACTTATGTAGCTGAGTCCATGGTGCCACTGCAGAGAAGACCCGTTCAGCTCATTGCACATTTTAAGATTATCTTACCAGGCCATAAATGTGGGTGGTTCAGTGGAGAGCTTAAAGAGAAGCAGAGACTATCAAGATTCTGAATTCTGTTTTCTCCACAGTGCAATTGCAAAAGATACACAGCTCTGAAAACAGCCCCCCTCAACAGCAAAACGCTGGTTTTGCCTTTCTTTTTAATATCACAAAAGTCTATTTGTAAATGCAAATCATTACACAATAACTGGTTGATGGTTCTTGGGTTTGTCTAGAAAAATAACAATACGTTGTGTTGTGCAAGCCCAATTTCAGCATAGGTAAAGACTTAAGAAATAAAACAAAATGAAATCATTTGCCTTAAATGCAGTCTTCTCAACTACCAATAAAAAGGAAAGCAATACTTCTTGGCACTCATTTTCTCCAACAAAATTTGCTTCTGTAAACAAGCAAAATGCTTGTCTTCTCCCCCCTTTTTTTGTTTAATTTTGCATATATTTCAAATCATAATTGTCTTAAGCACCTGTCTCACCATTCCTCCAGTCCTAGAAGCAAAATAGTGATAAGTATTCTGATCAGCTATTTCATTTAATTCTGTCCATTCATATTTTAAAATGTATTCTGTATTAAAGACCACATAAGCAGACAATTTCCCACAAATAGCAAATAAATGCATTTTCTTTCTTTCTGTTTCTATAATCTACTCTTAATTAATCCAGTTTGGCACCTGCTCAAGCATTTAGTTAAGAAGGAGTCGTAACTGGTTTCATTTATTTTAAACTATTTTATAAATAGTTTTGTTTGTTATGGCAAGAATAGTTCTTACGAATATTTCTTAGTTCACAAAGTACTCTGTAGCCCTTTACATAAACTAGTTAAACTGGATATTAGATAAAACGATAAAATAAAATGTAAATAAGCCCTGAATAGAGAGATGACAGTTTTCCTTTGCATTACCTAATAATGGGAGTGCAATGAAAATTCACACACACCTCTTCCAAATATCTGCAGATTGGGACATTTATTCTAAACCACAATATTAACAGTACAGTAGTGAGTATAAAAACTGTTGTTACGGTCATTTTTTAAAATTTATGAATCACTTCCCCTGAATCCTAAACTTAATCGCTTGAACACACTTACTGTGACAGCACTAAATACCATAAAAGCCTGTCTGCCTGAAGACCGTCCTGAAACTCATGATGGTAACCACCTACAACCCACTGACTGAAGAAGCGCTTCCACCCCACTCAGTCATCCCTTAACTAAGAAAGATCTAAAATAAAATTCTAATTCTGAGTTAATCACATCTACTTCTGGTATAATCAGCAGCTCCCACACTTCATAAAGTGATGTCATGAAGCACTACAGTCTCAGTATTTCTCACTTGCAGACCTGTTTTCATTTGCTCTTCTATTTGCCAATAGATTATTTTCAATGCGGGCTTGGAAACTCACTCGGACAATTCAGGTTGATGAGAATGGCAGGCTTCTCGGAAGGTAGTGCCGTGAGATTGGGAGTTTAAGCAGGAGTGGTTCAATAAGCCAGGGATGCTGAAGAAGACACTATTAATCTATTTTTTATTTCACAGAATTACAGAGTTGGAAGGGATCATGAGGATCATTCAGCCCAATTTCCTGCAACGCAGGAATCTTTTTGCCCAGTGCGGGACTCGAACCCACAACCATGAGATTAAGAGTGTCATGATCTACAAACTGAGCTTGGAATATTTACATAAAATGCTGGGTGATTTTACAAAAACAAAAGCAAAAACACAATGAATAAACACAGAGAAACACAGTTCTTCAAAGAGAAATCCAATACTTTCCACAAGTCAACTCATTCTTCTGGGAAAGCCAATTGAAATAGTGACGTTTTATGGCCATTATCTTTTGTTGGGAAAACTACAGGTGATGCATCTCTGTTGGAACAAATTGCTAGTCAATCTTCTTTAAGACTTCTGGATGGCTTAGAGAGAACTGAAAGAGGGGAGAAGCAGACCTTCCTGCCCGCAACTGAATGTGATGGGCTTTCAGACTATGTGCCCTGTCTGTGAAAATAACAATAGACTGTAGTTTTCAAGGCGGACTAGCACAGACTAACAGGTGAGTTTGGGCTCTGGAAGCTAGCAGGAAATCTGATGTGAGGCTGTGGATTTGGCTGTCTGTTAGAGAGTTTAAGCTTCTACCTATGCCCAGCCTGTATATCTCTGCAAAAGAGCTCCAATTTAAAAAAAAAAACACTCATAAGCCTCTAGCAGTAGTAGTTGGTGTGGTAGGACAGAGCTACAGAGATGCACTCCCCACCCAACAGGAGTGCTGTTGCAACTTACCAAGACAGTGCTCAGGTTGAGTGTATGCACAGGTGGACCAGATTCACAGCCCTTACCTTGCACCTTCCATGAAAGCTGCAGTGACTCCACCACTGGGAGTGCGGCTCTGCCCCAACACTGGCCAAGACTAGCATCTAGAGACATCCTTCCAAAGGAAACCAAACCTAAGTGCTGCACCCCCTGAAACTTCTCATCATATGGAAAAGTGAGATGAATGCAACAAGATGATATCCTATTATCCCTTCCAGATTTACCTGTAATTTGTAGACTGTGAACTAGCCAGAAGAAGCCACTGAACGTGCTTCACTGTCTTCATTGTACTTGTAGAAACATTTGTTTATTGTTTCTATGGACAACTTTTTATGGATGTCACTGGTTACAGATAGAGAGGAGTATAAATAAAAACAGAGCTTAATTAAAAGTCTATCCCAATTCCAAAATGAACCTATTTTTCTATGTGCTTGCGTATAACGAGCAAAGAATGCCAGATTACAGGTCTGCCATAAGATTTATATAAAAAGATTTTTAAAAATTGCACCACCACCACACTTGACAGTGTGAAAATAGGGCAGTCTGCTCTGAGTAGGTGGGGCTGGGGTAGAGTATGACAACATAACAGCATTTGAACATGTAATGGCAATGTGGTATCCAGTCATTAGAAATAGGAAGAAAAAAATATCCATGCATTTATTATGTTTTTAAACTGCATTATATTCAATCCACACTTATGACATCGACAGGCTGATTTTGAACATTAGGATTTATTGGAACCAGGTTTTCTTAGTCATTCCATCTGGCCGCATAACTTACAGCAGTGCCTGATCTAACATTTGGTATCCATGGAATTCTTTAAAATAAAATAGATATAAATTGAACAACGCATACATATGACAATACTGTCTCAGACTGTGTTCCTATTCAACTTTTTAAAAGAGATAATCCCAGGAACTAGCCCCATGTCTCTGTGCTGCCCCCTCCCCCAAAGAGAGATGCCTCCTCACCCTGCCCCACTGAGGCCTGTGAACCATCTCCTGGCCAGGCCCAGAGGCATCTTTCGCCTGGGGAGCTTGTAGCTAGGGCTGCTGGAACAAACAGCTGTGCAAGGCTTTGGGAGGTAGAGACACAAGAGGGCATCAGAGGAGGGAGGAAAGGATGGAAGGACAGAGGCCAGTGTTGCCCATGGTACCCCTAAACATCATTCAAGGCACCCCAGGGTGCCACGGCACGCTGCCAAGGGGGTTAATATGGGGGAAACGCCAGGGATTGGTGAGCAGACTGAGCAGGGCTACATCCCCTAAGAAAACATTCTTACTTAACATCATACTGTAATATAAAGTGTATATATATGCACACACATATCCTCAGCCACATATTACACAAAGGATTGGTTTATAGCATCCTCGTTCTTTTCTACTGTCACTTTCCCTCGCCATCACTCTCTTATTGACAGGAAATCTCAGACAAACCCTGAAAAATTAAAGCTACTCCAGACATGTCTAGACGTCAATTGTGCAAGGCAAGACATTCTTGAACTCTCCAACCTTTACAGGAGGTGAGCAGCTCACAAACCAGCAGCTAATGCTCTGAACACCTAAAATGCAAATAGCTTTAATCTCATTTAAAGTGACGCAACTTGGAGGAGGAGGAAGAGATGAAAGGGAAAGAGGCCAAAGATAAGCAGAGAGCACTGGCAATCTTTCTTATGCGGTCCAAATGTATCATATTTGGGTGACTTTAAGCTATCACTTTTGGTGTGGGTGAAACCCAGGGAAAAGACCTGACAGATTGTGAGAAATAAAAAGCACAATGATATCAGTATAAAAAGCCGACAAGACTGTAGCTAATGATAAAAGCAATATATAGCAAAGGACTAATACAAGGTACAAAGTCTGCGTTAATTGTTTTCCCCAATTCCACTGATGAATAATATGTAGATGCATACAAACAACACAACTGAGAAAACATAGGCCAAGCCCTATTTTTCTTTTCTTTTTACTACAAATTATTGAAGTATCCCATCACTCCACCTTGAAGATTATGTGCTTTTGTCCATTGCCATACTATTCTGACTTGATATTTTGTTTATCACAGCCATAGGTTGTGTGTGATTTTGTGAATTACAGCGCAGCATCCACTGTGGGATCTAAAAATCTCTGAGAATAGCCAAGTGTCTTAGGACATCCCTGACAGAGGGCTAGCAAAATGGTCACCAGTATTCTGATGAGCACATCTGTGGCACTTGCAGCCCCAGCTTGAAAGTTGATATGGACAAGGTTCACCTCTTCCTCTGTACTGGAGTGTGAGGGAGCAGCCCTGAGGCAGGAGACTGGTTGGAGGGGGTCCCTACAGTTTTGCTGAATTTCAGAGGTACTTCTCGCAACTTCCGGGTGCTTCCAGAGCAGAGAAACAAGGCTGCACCCCCCCCCCCCGCTGCTCCTTCCTTGACCGAAGGAGTGTCAGTGGTAAATACAGATTGTGGCTTACTACCAAGGCCTGACAGAAATTGCAGATCACATGTAACAGCTATTGCCTACTATTCGTTTGTTTATTCATTTATTGGGGGGGAGGGTGAGTAAAAATGAAGGAAGCATAAATTTTATGCGAAATAATAAAAATGTTTTGCAACCATTCTTCTTGAGCGCACAGCTTCATTAATAATGTTTTTTAAAAGCAGCATTAAAGGGAGAAGACTGAATAAGAATTAGGCAAGTAATTGTGATTAGCTCAGAATTATATGCCCCCACTACACAGCACTCTTGATATGCAAGAATCCTAATTAATACATGATCCAAATATTCTCCCCTATGTCCCCGCCCACCCCCCCTATAAATATCATAGAGGCAGGGTGAGAGGGGAGTTGATGGAATAGGATTGTGAAACTATGGCAGAGAAAGTGTAAGTGATTTTCCCATGACCACATTCCTGAGGGAACCAAGTTTGCAGATTTACAGCTGTGTGACTTATCTACAAGTTCATCTTTTCTCTAGTATCATGAATACATGATGTACTGTGGGTAACAAAAGTAAACCACCAAAAAGGAAATCGATAATAATCTGATTTATGAGTTTTAAATAAATCAGTACTTACTGGAGATACCAAGGTGATATATGTCTGAGAAACAGACAAATGGAGAGACAGATTATGAAGGCTTGTGCTGTATTAATATAAATGCCCTTCAGCTCTTCACAAAGACAAAGGTAAGGAGTATTTTGTGCATGGGTTTTTCCTTATGATGAATTGTTATTGGTAAACAGTATGTTTATATTTTTTGAAACAATATTTTAAAAAATAGGAATAGATGGGAACAAGCTACTATTTCAAGGGGGGGTTTAAGCTGAGTTTCTTCATGTTCAGTGCAAAGACCTCAAACTGTTTGCCAATAAGAAACAGATGCTTCCTAAGGTCCTCTGTTAGTTAGCTATCTACCCATAAATAATCCACTTTATATATGAAAATTCTTTTTGTTGTTGTTATTTGCTGCCTATGCTCCCTTTTGTGAGGAAGAGCAGGATATGAAAATGACTAATATACAAACAAAACTATAGGCCACTCAATGCACACACTACAAATTAAACACAAATGTCAAACACCTGTCTGTGCCAATTTAATGACTCCTAAAATACTGGTCTAACAGTATAATTTTTACTCAGAACTTTGCCTTAATGGGACTTACTTCAAGAACAGCCCAGGATTGCAGCCTTATCAACACTCTTGTTCTATTTAATCAACATACCGTAGCTACCAAATCTTGTTCTGTTGAATCAACAGAGCTACCAAGATGGTCTTGATATGGAAGTCATAAGCCTTGGAAATAGACCACACCTAATAAAATCCATCTAAGCAGTAGCAGCTCATCTAGCTTACATTTCTGGGCAAATTAAATCAGCGAAGTTGTGCAACTCTGAACTTGCTTAACAAATTAGGAAGCACATGCAGGTGTTATTTTGATTTGTAGCTTGTCATTCCCAATAACTCACAGTGGTTAACAGTACCATAAAACTATTAATATTTTGAGACAGCTTTCTTTCTTTTTTTTAAAGCAATTTATTGGGTTTTACAATAAAAACAAGCATGATAAACAATATAACATTTGTCTTAACATAGTTTCACATTTTCTTTGGACTTCCTCACATCTCCCGTTCCCATTTTCCTCGTTATAACATTTTATCAGCAATTTATCCTCTTATTTAAATTCTTATATCCCTTCTATATTTCATAATCTTGTAATTCTCGAAAGGAATTAAATTTTCACAATCTTACTTGTTTTCTTAAAAAAAAAAATTCTAAGTTTAGTGGTGCTCAGTTGTTTTAGTCTAGCATCTTATTTAGCATTCACTCAAATTACAATGTTTTTGTAGGTAATTCTTAAATTTCTTCCAATCCTCCTCTATCCTC